CTGACTATTTTGTATGTAGTCATGTCATAAGAATGCCAATTAACACTTTTGAGCAATGATGCACATTAATTGAAACTATACAGTGGAAGGCAGGAAGATCGACGGTCGAATACGACACTATTGATACATTTCCAATTTTCTATTGTAAATAGAAATCATCTTTTTCAGAGTCACAGAGTTCTCAGAACTTCATTAATGGTAGCGTTATAGTTTTCAAATGTCATTGTAACATTCTTAACTGTCATACAAGTAGAAAAAGAGAACTGTTGAAGTAAAACTTGGAAAGAACGAAAAACACTGCTGAGTCTTACTTCGTTAACCCATCTCCCATTCATACTGTATAACTTTCGCATCGCATTAATTCTCTTCTTGAATACTTTGTATTTCATTTAACCTCACAAACGTTGTTGATTCATGGACGATTCCCCCAGACACACTCTCAACATCTTGTACAGTCTTCCCCAGAAGAGCGGAAGCTGTTTTTTTTCCTCCTGTAGGTGTCCCATTACCTTTTCCATATAGTTTATGGGGAATCAGCAGAGAGCGTGTATTTCACCTGCTGTCTGACATTCCGTTTGTCAGGTAGTGAAGATAAAGGGGAGGTTGAGCAGAGAATAAATGAGAGGAGGGCAGTTGAGAGCAGGACGGGGCACAACTGGCTATCGTCCCGTGGCCTATTTCATGCGGGCCTCAGCAGAGATTCATCTCCGCTTGTCCCCTTGGAGCACTGGAGCGTGGCCGTGCAGTCATGATGACAGACTGCCACCAACCTCACGTGCTCCACCTGAGTAGTGGCTGAAAACACGATCCAACCAAATACGCCGTATGTGCTTCTTCAAAAAAAGAATTCATATTCCGCTAAGCTCTACTGTTAACAATAACCACGCCAAGGATTTCCCTTAAGTCTCTTTCATGTGATTAACTGAACCAGGCTGTCATATTATAAGATCCTTGACGTCTCCTGCTACTGTGTCATTCTTCTGATACCTCCCACAGAAAGTCAGTTTGTCAGAACACTTCACATTTAAGTGCACTGGGGATAGTTAGACGATTAAAAAAAACAAACAAACATTAAAACAAACAGTGAAAGTGACCTTTGAGATAGAACATTATGGATTTTGGACATTTACATTTCATGACAATCGCTCAGACATTCATTCATCTCATAGAGCCAGTGGAATGATGAGCTCTTCGCTTGTTTCTTGGGCTTTCATAAATAAAAAAAGACACTGTATGTCTTTGCTCACAGCTTATAAATTTTTTTTCCCCATTTTTTTTTTTTTTTTTGTTTGCACTTGCTCTGATTCCCACTGCTTGTCATTCTTTTTAGGTACCTTGTACTAGAACATGTGTCCGGTGGAGAACTCTTTGACTATTTAGTGAAGAAAGGCAGACTAACGCCTAAAGAGGCCAGAAAGTTCTTCAGACAGATCATGTCTGCGCTGGATTTTTGCCACAGTCATTCCATATGGTAAGTCTTTTCTAATGAGTGTGTGTGTGTGTGTGTGTGTGTGTGTGTGTGTGTGTGTGTGTGTGTGTGTGTGTGTGTGTGTGTAATTAGTGTTTGTTTTGGGCCAGGAACAAGTGAGTTGTACTTGCTTGTTACACTTGCATGGTATATTTTGGACGTTTGTTTGCTGAACATAATCAAAGTTGTCAGTGGGCCCCACTGACTGTAGCCAGTGTTGTGAGGTTTTCCTGGTTGTATTAATGAAAGGAGGGAAAACACACTTATTTGCTCCTAGGTGGCAAAAGTAATTATATACACTGAACAAAAATATAAACATTTTCTGAATTCAAAGTTTTAACCACCACATGTGATGCGATTGGGTTATTTTGGCAAAGGGGTCATGATCACTACCACAGATGTATTGTAAAAAGCACTCATCATTTATTCACACTTCAAATCAGCAAGCCTGATGGAACAGGGTCCATACTACTCATACATAATCCAAAGTTTGGCCATCTGTCACGTGTGCATACCAACTGGTGGCGACACATGAAAAGAACTTCATTTCCCATACGTTTGTGAAAGCACACTCACAAAACAGCAAGCAAGAGGGACTCTGCCTGAAAGCTAAGTGAAATTTCATTCCGCATTATTATCACAAAAGCCTGAGTTCGTCGGGAGAAAGACGCAACCACAAGCTTTCACTTCCACAGCCGACCTTTACGTCAAGCGGGAAAGAAACTACAAACTTAAGTGTGCGAAGCCACAAAGACAGCAGGAGGGAAGAGTTTCATAGACTGGGGAATTCAAAGAGCACAAGTTAGCAAATAACCTTCGAACAGAAGCATTACCTCTCTGTGCAATCACTGTCACCCAGCATATTTTGCCAATGGTGTTTATGTCTGAACCGTGTTCACACTGTTGATGTTGCACCGGCCTTTTGAACCATCTCCTTGTACTAAAGTGTGTTCACCGCTCTCCTTGCTGTCTGCCATTTTAGAAAGAAATACGTAAATTGACTGTGTCATAATTCATTGCGATATGGCCCAGATTAATAAAAATCTCTCATCTCTTTACACCACCCAACCCTACATGAAAGTATGCACAGTAATGTATACATACACTATGTGGTTGTATGTGTTGCACTGATATTTCTTCAAATGCACAATTATTTTGAAGAGAGCCTGAGTAATTTTGAAATGTTTTCATTTAAAATGGTTATTCTCCCTACATTTCAGTGCAAATGTTCAATATGAGAATAGAAAGAAAATTGTTCTTAAAAGTGATGTACTTAATTCTATGAGCTCAAATATCATCAGTGTATCATTTGCATGGAAACACAAAACACACACAGACAAACGCAAACAATATTATCGTTAATCATGATAGTTTCAATGTATTGTTTTATTGCGATAGGCCGACATGCATGTACTATATGCATGGATCATGCCAACATGAGCGTTGTACTGTGCTGCGTCACGCACATCCTTCCATCAGTGTGCCTCCTGCCGAGAGAAGAAGAGCCGCACCGACTGGGGAAGCCGATGCTGTGCGCTAAATGACCATGAGATAGATTTGTATATTTTTTTATTTGCCGCTAGGGCAGTTCAAAGGAAACATTGTAATTGCATTGTTTTTCAAGTGAGTATCTCGGGTTGAATTTCTATTTGATTCCGTGCAGGTGACTTGCTTGATATGCTTTGCACACTTCATTTATCGTGAAAGCAATTACGTTCTGGCTGCTGCTATTTAATAATTAAAGCTATGCCGGAGCAGTTCTATATAGCAAAAGCCTCTGCAAAAGGCTTTCGATCGGATGTTACTTGTGTTATTGTGCAGGTAGGGTAGATTTAGTCTCGCATCATAAATAGTTAAGAATGGAATTAAGATTTAAAGCTTTTGTACGACTGATCTGTCTTGCCTTGGGCAAAGAAAGTCCGAAGTGACTAATTAGTGGGGGTAGTACGGATTAATCCAATTAGGGTAAAGTACCTGACATCTAGTGCATGCACACATGCAGATTATCACGGAGCTTTTGTGGTGAGATTCACCAGCAGATTTATATGCCGTCGTCTTTTTTCACTGGCTGCTCAAATCCGCCCGCTAACACTCTTGGAAAAAGATGCCTTGTAAGTCATCTTGAGGCGGATTCTCCCTCATTCCCCCTTCAATCCTCAATTAGAGGCAAACACACAGGCAGGCGCAAGGAGTCCTCCTCACCTCTCTCGGCTAATGAGATCCCAGCAACCCCTCAATAAAAAAAGCATTTCCGCAATCATTTCTTCCATTTCTTCTTGACTGCACAGGAGACGCACGCAGACCATTAGAACTGCTGCCATTCCTATCTGACTCACCATGCGAGGGGTGGGTGGTAGTGGGGCTAAACACATGCTGCCGAGCCCGCATCTGCACACCTGCTTTGGCCTCCTGCTTCTGTTGGCCGCCCACGTCATATTTCCAAATATCTCTTGCCATGTATGAATCTACAGCGCAATTTGCACCGAAGAAGAATTGAGTGAATTTAAATCAATTTGTAGGAAGGTACTCCACAATATTTGATTTATTAAGAGCTACTAAATGGCAGTTCACATCTGAGATTGAGAATTACTTGGACCTATTTCCTTTATTTAAAAAGAATAATTAAAAAAAAAAAAAAAAAACGGAGCAAGCTGTTGCAAGTTCCGCCTACAAACATGTTCTTCCACTCACAATTATCAGAGTGGCCACATAGATTTCTGATTAACGAGTAAAAACGTTTGAGGCTATGTATTATATGTACGGTATTTATTGTATTGTGTGTAGGTGGAAAACTTGATTTCTGCTCCCTGCTGGAGCAGCCAGAAGTTCCACTGACACGGTGGTCCGGCATGCATTCAAAAGTTGTCGACAGGTTCGCTCTCATACGCCAAAACGTAGTCGGCAACGCAGTACGGCAGTCACGTGCCAAACCATAATCGTCCACAGGTTGGGCCCATGATGCCCAAGACCGTTGCGGAAATACACAGGCTGTTTGGGAAAATTTGCAGATTTTCCCGAAATTCCCGATGGCCACCACGCCCCTGCACACACACACACACACACACACACACACACACACACACACGTATACGTGTATATATATATA